TCATTCAAATTTAGTGCAACAAAGTGCAAGTATAAAGTTGCTAGAAAATCGCGTTGATTTTTGGCATTTTTTTTAGTGGAAGGTGTTGCTCATTTTCTCCATACAAAAAATAATGGTCGAATTACTTAGTATGGAAGAACGTGTGTGAAAATTTGCAAATTTGAATGGGCTATAAAACTGCATACTTAGAATTTTTCTAAAAAATCTCAATAGGAAGATGCAAATTAGTGTGCAAATTTAATGAATTTTCCTGAGTTTTGCACAAAGTTTAGAGATTTTATTATTATGTTTTCTGGTGTAGAATGAACAATATTTTTATAAAAAATTATTGCATATATTGCGAAAAATTCACTGTGCCAATACTTCTGTTCGGCACTGTATGTATGTATGTATATATGTTTAACGATTTTAAGCGTGCATTAAACACTAAACTAAGAACATTGAATTCCGTACTAGTAATATTTGGACTATATTCTCTGAATCTGTAACTACTTATTTATAGTAGATCGAAATTTAAACTAAATGGAATATGAACTTAACATGCATATTAGGGTGGTCACTAAAATCAATGAACAATTTTTTCAGTCTTAGTCGAAGATATCACATATAAATTTTGGTCCCGATTGGAGTCGGTTAAGGCGTCTTCATAGAGTAATCTGAAATTTGACCCCTGTGCGACACGCCTTAACCGACTTCAATCGGCACCAAGATTTATATGTGATATCTTCGACTATAGTAGCATCGACGTAGGGGTTGACGCTTATACAGTGACTCAAAAAGGTGCTTAAATGTTGATATTGTTTGATCGCTTACTGAAGATTGGTTTGGCGTAAGTAATTCTTCAGTACGACTCTTATTGACTCTCGGTCACAAGGATCTTGGGATCTCACATTCGTCCCAACTAATCCATAGGTCATTAGCAGGGAACGGACTTTTATCACCTAAAAACCTATAAAAAAGGCAAAATAAAATAGCGAAAAAGGCAGGAAAAGGCACTAGGTATTGCAAAAAAAGCAAAATAAGGCACTAAAAAGACAAAAAATATGAAGAACAATCAAAAAATACATTTATTTTAGAAATGTTTATATTACAAGTAAAAAGAGAAAAACTATGAACTAGTTTCATTATATGAAGAATTTGTACTTTGAATCTTTGACTATTTTATCCTTTCGGGTTTCTAGCTCATAAAACTTTAATTTGTATAGTTGTAGTAACATTGAACCACAAGATGCATTTCGAAGTTTTCTGGCAGCATTTTCATTCGATTTTCGCGAAGAAAAGCCTTGAATATACTAAATGTGTGCTCGACGTAAGTTGAAACAAGCGGCGCCCAATTTAAATAAGGAACGTTTGAAAAGTACATATTATCAGGAATAAGGGCGTTTTCCTCGCCCTTAATAATTTTATCCACACCCCTTATTGTCTCCAAGCCTTCGTTTGGCAAGAGGTCTCTGCGCTTCTATAAGCCGCATGGGCAATGTGTATNAGGAACGTTTGAAAAGTACATATTATCAGGAATAAGGGCGTTTTCCTCGCCCTTAATAATTTTATCCACACCCCTTATTGTCTCCAAGCCTTCGTTTGGCAAGAGGTCTCTGCGCTTCTATAAGCCGCATGGGCAATGTGTATATTTTTTAATCTTTAATAAAAAAAAATTGTATATGCTATAATCACGTTTTTAAAGGTAGAAAAGGAAAAAAAAGGGAAATGTCTTAAAAAATGCAAAAAAAGGCAACATCAAATGTGTATATATGGAATCAGGGAAAGCTAAATCGTGGACATTCTTAATCGAATATACTCTATCTCTTTAGCAGAAAAAAGGCAATTTCTATAAAATCCGTTCCCTGGTCATTACGGTTACGGTAGTGGTGTATTCAACAGGGACCGAACATAACAGTTATTGATGAAAATTGTCATTGAAAAATTTACTATGTAGGAAATGTTCTAAAACTAAGTAATACACACCAATCGATTCCTTTTTTCACCGCGACTCAAATTTGAAAATGAATTTTTATTTGCAATTTTTATGCAAAATTAAAAAAATAAAAATTGTTTTTGATTTTTATATTATAAATCCAAAATAACAATTAGACATTTTTGATTTTTATATTATATGTCTAAGATAACAGTTATTGAAGACTTTTATTTATAAAAAAAAACATCAATAAAAATCAGTCAGTGACCTTTACTTTTAGAAGTCATCAATATAAATCAGTCACCGACTTTTATTCTTTAAATCATTCGTATAAAAGTCTTTAAAACATTTTTCGCAGTTAAGAAGGTTTTGGGAAACAAAAGTTTACTACGAGTCATACAAATGACTTTTATAAGTATGATTTAAAAAATAAAGGTCAGTTACTGATTTTATGCATGACTTTTATAAATAATAGTCTTCGATAACTGTTATCTGAGACATATAATTTAAAAATCAAAAATAACTGTTATTTGCAATTATTTCGATAAAAATCAAGAATAATTGTTATTTTGGATTTATAAGATAAAAGTCAGAAATGTCGGGTATTTAAGGAGTAATTAAATAAAAGTCATAAAATAATTGTTAAAGAGCGATTTATTTTTATAAAAGTTGTACCGGTTACGGACCCTGGTATTCAACCCTCTTTAGTTGATCAGAAATTTGTGGTAGTAGGAAGTTATCAGCTTAGCTAATTTGCATTTCCAAGCCGTGGCTAGCCATTTAGTCGGCTATGTTGTTCCCTTCGATATTGCTATATTTAGGAGAAGAGACAGGTTTTGTCGTGACTCAGTGAAACAATTTCCGACATTTCCGAAATACTTCGGACTTTACTACGATTTCTATTCCGTATGAGAAAATCCGCTTTCTCTATGGCAAAGGATACCACCTGAGTGACACAACAGTTATCACGCAGGCGATATGATTGCCTTTTCAGCAGGTCCTTTGAGTAGAGATCCGCGCCGATTCGTTTGTACATGCTTGCGCCATCGGTGTTGTTGGAATTGCCAACATTTACCGACAGTGTGCCGTCTTCCCCAAACTTCCCCAGTTGGAAAATGTATGGGAATCTTAAGTTTCGACATCTAAGTCGACCTTGATTCCGTTACGCCCTTCCACTATTAATTACCTTCAAGACTGCTGCGTGCCCATAATTAGTATGCTTCCACACTGCTGATGCCCTTAGTCTCAGGGCGCCTTCACCTACTACGAAAACTTGTGGCGGCTTCAAGTGAAAGATCATGTTCAGCTCTTCTTTTGGTGCGCTGCTCAGGGCGCCTGATATAGCGAGGCTTGGGAGACTCCGCACCTTTTCACTGCACTAAATATCATTTAAATTTCAAATATACATACATAAATATATAACACATATAAATGTATATTTATGCATTAAAAAACATTTAATTTTTATTGTAAGACTGCATGCAATACTAATTACTTAAATATTTAATCAAAGTCTTGCATCGCTTAAATGCCAATGAATAAACTAGAAGCCACCGTAGCATAACTACATACAAACACACAAAAATATGTAGCTGTAAGATATACTTATTCTTAGAAGTTTATTTATTTTTAATGCTCTATGAATAGAGCGACTTATGTTACTGACGTACATAGTTGCATGTACCTACAGCTGTGCATATGCCTGTAGATACCCTGTGGGGAAAATCTCTAGTTCTGAACTGGTGCGCTTCTAGTACATTTAGACCCAGTACTGGTTCGCGATAAATCTCTTTTGCATGCAAGCAACTGGCGAATTTAACATGGCGATGTCCTAAGAAGTGTCAATTGCCCCCCGCTGCATCCCTTTTTCGATAGTTCCGAACTATTTCTAAATTCCTCACTTGAGATATAGATTTCTAGTGAAAAAAACTGAAAAAAATAGTACCACTTTTCGCCGATTTTGGCTGGTGGGGATCTAGTTCCTATCGGACCAGTTCGTTTTTGGCGATGAAGACCTAGTACGGAACTAGAAATTTGATTCACTAGTCCGCGGTTTCCCTACAGGGTATGTATGTATGTATGTATGTATGTAGTTGTGCATGTGCGTTCAACCAAGCAATGGGCAGCTTATAATCATCATACGCACTGGAGTACCTCGAAACTCAAGGGAAACACGAGCGAACCTTTTTGCCAACATTTAATGAGAAAATATTCTGCACAACAAAATATTTAGTAAGTAACGAACATAAACAAATAACCGTTAGCGCGCATGTGCGCCGAATGAATATACAAGTCATATGTTTTTCGTTGTTTTTTCCCATTTTCCGTTATCCTACACAACTGGCTGGCTGGACGCACGACAGTGACGACGATGGCGACGACGACGACGACGACTACGACGACTACGACAACGGCAAAGGAGAAAGAACTACACTGCAAGCGCGGCTCGCAATGTTTTTAAATAATACATGTACGTATTTAATATGTATGCATGTATGTACGTGTGTTTGTATGTATGGATTTGTGTGGTGTGCATACAAAGTGTAACAATGTCAGTAGCGCGAGGAGCTTCGGACAACACGTGCACAAAATAGTTTGGATAGCCGAGACTTTGAGTGGCAGACAGGCATTCTATTAGCTATGTATGTATGTATGTATGTATGTATGTATGTATGTTAGAATATCAACAAATGTACGAGTATGTGTGTCTGCGCTATAGTGCTTTACTAGAGGTAGATTGGATAGCCAGCCGACCGATGCGAAGCACAAATATCAAATACAAAAGTCAAATAGTCACGAAATTCCAATGCATGCGCACACGACCAACGCTGAATGTAACAAGGCCGACAGTCTAAACAGCCGAGCGCTTAGGCAATTGCAACGGCAAGCGCCCGAAAGGGATAGCGAGCGCATGATTTTGATGGCTAAAACCTTGCTCAGCGAATTCAGCTGAGCGCGAGTGTGCATATGTATGTATGTGTGCTCTCAAGTGACCGAACGCTTTCGCTTTTCTTCGTTCGCTTGCCCAGGACCAAGTGACTGGATGTGCAAGCTGGCAACGGTTAGTTCGAATAAGGACGTGAACGGCTATGAATAACGGCGGTGGCGCATAGTTAACGGTAGCTAACGAGTCGCAGAGGGATACTACTACAAATAGGGATTTTTCTGAAACAAGTATCATGAATTGATTAAAGTGAAAGGTGAAGAAGTTGTGAAGCGAAATGAAGTGAAGTGCAAGAAAGAAGGTGAAAATGCTGCAGAGGTGTACAAAAAAAAAGCTAAAATCGATGCGCTAAAGTTAAAGTAAATGGAAAAAAAAAATGAAATGCATGAATAGTTAAGCAGGCGCTCAAGTGTGAAATAAATTATAACTATAGCTATGGGTGCAAACATATACATATACTCATACATACATACATAGAAAAAGTGATGCGAATACGTGTGTGGGTGTGAATGTGGCACTACAATTCCACTTCCATGCACGTTCTTATGCAGCACTCGAGCTGCCAATTACGTATATTATTGTGTGTGTGTGTGTGTGTGTGGTGCTAATTAATTTATTTTGCAATTTTATTCAAATAAAAGTGAAATTCGGAAAAAAAATGTTTTTTTCCAATTTTCGTATTTTTCCAATTCTTCCAACCCAAAATGCAAATTCGGTGAATCGATTGTGAATCAAATAAGATTCGTAAGCAAACAACAAAAATGAGCACAAAAACAACCACAATAAGCACAACAACAACAACAACAACAACAACACAGACACACAATTCCTTCCAATTATATTGGAATGGTGTTAGTGCTGCAATTCTTTGATCATTTGCGTTGCCAGCGCGCGACCCTCGAAATTGTCAGATTAAAAATTTATTCGCGAGCAGCAGTGCGCTATGTGGAGTAGTGGCACTGAGTGGGCGTTATGAGTGTGCGTGTGAGTGAGCGGGTGAGTGAGTGGAAGCGAGTCCGCCCGCGTCACCAATAACCTAGTACAAGTACAACAACTTGGTACAACGTGCGTGTGTGTGCTAGTTGTGTTTTTCCTTTGGTGCTTTTGGTTTCTTTTTTTCTTGACTTTTATTTTGGTGAACGCATGGCTTAAGGAGGAAAAGTTGAGATCCGCAGCGCTCAACTGCTCTTTCCTGTGCACATTAACGAATTTGTGTTATGGTTCGTTAGATTCTAGTGGCTGAAGAAGAAGACAGAGTCTACAGAGAGAGAAATGTAAGGGAAGGGAGAAATTAAAAAAAAAAACACAAAAACAAATGCAAATAGTAATAGAGCGCAGAGAGGGCAACAAGACAGGTGGCCAAGAGCAAAGTGCTTTTTTTTTTATTACGCTGCAGGTATTTTTCGAGTAGTGCCGAGTGAAAAATTACCAATTCAAAAAATAAAAAATATGTATAAAATAAAAAAAATAAATTTAGTACGAAAAACTTTAAAAATATTAAAAAGTATATAAAATTGCATATCGACTGCTGAGTGGAAGATCGACCTATCTCGGCAGCCAGTTCGAAAACGCCCTACCTTAAAAAACTTTTCAAGAACGCCCTATTTGAGAATTTGGTTGAAGAACGTTTTCGTTTCAAAAATTCCCTATCTAAGCTGCCGATTCCAAAACGCCCTATATCAGCACAGTAAGATAGGGCGTTTTTGAACCGCATTCTGAGATAGGGTGTTTTCCAATAAAATTCTGAAATAGGGCGTTCTTGAACTAGCTGCCGAGATAGGTCGATCTCCCACTCAGCAGTCGATATGTACATTAAACCGGGTTGGTCCCCATACAATGGAATAAACTTTGCAATTATCCTACCTAGTTTGACAGCTTAATTTGGAGAGGATTTTAGAGTCACGGAAATTTTCGGCCTTAGCAAGTCCTATAAACATCCAAACGGAGTTGTCTTCAAAGCTCTTTTTTTATTACTCTATCCCAAAGTTTGATACATGGTTAAAAATATAATTTTAAGTACGTACTGTATACGCTTCTCAGTTCATTTTACCCCAGAATATCTCCTTAACCTGCCAAGACCAAATAACTCAGTTTATGCCCCATTAAATACAACTTTACTCTTCACGAAATTGCACATTTTATTAAGTAAGCGATGATCTTTTTCAATTGGAAGTGTAAAAATGAATTAATAAAGAGGAAAGTTATGGTGACTTGAAACTCTCTTTCTGTTGATATTGCTACAAACATAGGTAACTCATACGCCATGGCAAGCGAGCAACTTATATAGGCTGGCGAGCAAGTAGTCAAGCGGGGATAAAGATCGGTGCGGACTTTTTAACCGACTTCAGTTCGTCGGAATATATATATTTTTATTATTTTTTTATATGTATATTGCTGCATAACTTTGGGCCATGTCAACCGATTTCGATACTTCTTTTTGCATCGGAAGAGGTGGTCCCATACTAATCTAGTTTAGATCCGATCATTCGATCAGGAAATATATATATATATATATACATATATTTTTATTAAGTCGGTTTTTTTTGCTAAAAATTACTTGTGTTATTTCAAAACTCCACGGAAAAGGTATGCGCTTGATAGTTAGCCTGTTAGTATCCCTGCATAGGTTTTGCATAGAACAAACCCGATTTAAGCTGTTTTTAGGACTCGCCAATAATGCAAATTTTTGAAAATTAACAAACAAGAAATAACAAGTAGTATTTTAGTAAACCTTTCACAAATACTTATTAAAATTTATGTATTAGTTACCAAAAAAAATTTAATTCATTAAAGTTTATTCGAAAATTAGGTTAGGTTACTTAGTTTAGGTTCATAGCCTTGCCAGATAGGTTTACGACCTATGAAACAATGCTTTCCGCATTGTTAAAGGAAATTTCCCTCCGATTGCTGCCTCTGTAGGCTCTGCAGATGTACCTTGCCGAATAACGGGAGTTTTTGCCTCCAAATTATATGCTCCACTATTTTCTCGTAATAGTCACATTCCCTACATTTTTTCTCCTCTATTATTAAACCTAATTTAAATGCATGCGCTCTTAGCAAATAATGCACTGTTAGCAATCCTATCAGAAGCTTCGAATATTTTCTTCTTGTGGTAGCAGGATATCGGTAAGTTTCTTATCTTATGAACTACACATAATCCATGCAATTCTGCTCTTTTACAAAACCTATTCGCGTTGGTATATCAGTCACTAGTGAGGCGTCTAAGAGAACGCCCTCTTTGGCTAGTTCGAAAGCTCTCTCTACAACTTTCACATTGCCGTATCCTGAAATGGTTTCAATCGCAGCTGGCCTACTTATAGCCTCTTTTCAGTCCGCGAAGGTAGTCGAAATTGTTTTATATGAAAGCAGAGCCTTAATTGCCGACTGACTATTTATCTATGTAAATGTTCGCTTGGCGGGTTATTTCAGGAAGTATCTCTGCCGCTTTCTTTATTGCAAATATCTCAACTTGATAGATGCTGCAATGATTTGGTTGCTTAAAGAACCTATAAATTTCCGGTACAGCTCAGTATTCTGCAACCGCTACTTTTTTGTCCATTTTGGATCAGTCTAAGACCAAGCCCTTACGCCAGCTGTCAACCTCTTTTGTAGCTTATATAGAGACTGATAATTGAGAGTTAGCCTTGGGTTAGGACCGATTGATTCCATTTAACAGATTTCTGTCTTTTCTAGCGAAATGATGACCAATAGTCTAGCCTAGCCATCTAAGGCTCTATGGCTTTCCAGTACTGACTAGGTTCTAAGTTTACCCACTCGATTAGTGTTGGACCAGAATACTTCCGGCTCACAAGAACAGACGATGCAACTTTGTCGCTCTCTTCGATACCGCAGTAATTTATTCAGTATACAGCACAATTTAAAAGCGTTTCTCCCTGCCAGGAATTGAAAAGTTTTAAAAAACTCCTTGAAGACCTTGGAGGATGATCAGCCACCTATCAAGGCCTGAAAATGTAACTATTTATAAACACCTCTTTGATTTCTCTCTGGGATTTCGACCTTAGATTTTCTTCCAATAAAGATTTGTTTTGGTATGGAGTACACTGAGGGAAATAATGCATAGTAAAAATGAATACTTTATATTTGATTATCCTTTAAAAATGTTTGTATTTAAAAATAATATTTTATATGTCTGGCTGTAGCTGAGTAAGCAAAGATGCTTGCTGTAGATTTTCAGAGAGTCAGGGTTCGAATTCCGTTGCAGGCAAGAGGCAAATTAAAAATTTTGACGTAGAATACGTCTTACGTTTCGATATGGAGGCTATGCTGAAATGTTGTAGTTGAAATTTTTAGAGCTTCACGAAACCGCTTATTGCACAAGAACTAATGAAGCGATTTCAAAGAAAAGTATGGCATTTCAAAGATAAAATTCCAAACCTAGGTACAGAAAAACAATATGTTGAATGTTTGAAATCGAAAAAAATAGGAGTAAAGTATATAACGGTCACTTTCACTTATGAATACATAAGTTCATCTCGGTAAGCGCTTTCAATTAAATATTTCATTAAGTCTGATTAAGCATATTAACGAAAATGTTTGAAGTCGGAGGAAGAAAACCCAGCTTTTCATGTATGTATGTAGTTTACAGAAAGGTGAAACAACTAAATTTCGGTTTCGCCCAATTTATACTGCTTTACTTGTTTTAAATTATTTTTTATTTTTTTAATGGATTTGCTTTTAAATTTTAGATTTTATTGCTTATAAACAATTTTTTTTTTTATTTCTTTAAGGTTTTAGAAACTTAATTTATGAAAATTTTTTTAACCAATTATTTTTTATTTAAACTTTTTGATTTTATTGTTTTCAAAAGAAAGCTGTTTTTTGATTTTGTTTGTTTTAAGGAATAGGCGAGTTCCTGTAAAATTAAATTTTTTAAGTGTATTTTTTTAACTTCATTTAATTTTTGAGAACTGTTTTATTCTATTAAATATTTTTTTAAATATAGTTTTCTAAATTTTAGATATTTTTTGTTTTGAAAAGCAACGATCCTTTTTACATTTCAGCTGTGTTATTGACCTTGTTTTTTAGGAAAAAGCAATAAGGTCGAAGCGGTAGAAGTTATAACTGCTATTTTGGAGATCACCACATCTCCCCATCAGAGTTCTTTTTCTAAACTTCTTTTTAATTTAATTTTTATAAGCTTATTTCAAGATTTTTTTTAAATTAAATTTTTATTTATTTTTAGTACTGAAAAAATAGATTTATATATCATTTATAATTCGTAGAAAAACGTGGTTTATCATACGCTGCATACAAGGCAGACGCATAATAAGCTCTTGCGGCTGTGTAATAAATAGAAAGCAATAAAGAAAAAAATACTCCTAATATAAATAAAATATCATTCTTCCTTGCAGTGCATTACTCTAACATGTAAAAAATGTGAAGTGTATGTGTACACATAGAAACTAAAAAAAGTCTATGCATTCATATACATAGCATGTACGTACATATGTATGTATGTACGAATTCATACCAAAATTTGATAATCTAAGATTTGTGCAAGCAATACAAATGTGTACAATTACATGGCACTAGCGAGGCAAAGCCACTACACAACAACAACAACAACCAAACAACATATTGGATACGCCGCGAATTTGCGCGCCGCATGAAAGCAGAACACATCACGAATTTGCACGGACGTAATTGTGGCTGCGTCAAATCTTGAAGCTCAATACTTGCACTCTCGCTGGCACAAATACTACAAACATTGAGAAAGGTAAGTACCTACAAAGCTATATTGCAGGCATATGTACATAGGTGCAACTATATGCACCAGCAATCGCAATAACATAAGGACAACGAACTTTCCTTTCCAAACATACACACATATACATTTGTGCGTACATATGTATGTATCTATGCCTGCATCTATGATCCGGCAAATGTACGTACTCACATACATATATTTACTTTCATGTTCCCTTATTCAAATGCATCTTATGCACCACATACACACCCATTAGCATACATGCATATGTATGGATATGCATTTGCACCAACCAACATATGTATGTACGTCCATATCTACTCGTACACTTTGTAGTCAACGAATTCGTGCTAAAGTATAACTGGAAGGATTTTAAACACTTTGTCTCGCCCACATGTCAATACTCGCAATACATAATTCACCTAAGGCTGCGTTGCGTGCGTTTGTGCAGATGGCATAACACTCGTCGTCGTCGTCGTCGTCGTCGTCGTCGTCGTCTGTCGTATACGGTGTGTCGCAGTGCGCAAATACTCGTGCATTCTGGTGATGGAGAGGAGAGCAAAAAATGCATAAGAAACGGAAGACGTAAGAAGGAAGAGTGGTTGAAGTTATCAGTTGCATATTGTGTGCATTTCTTTTTTTATTTGCTTGCTTACTCAAGTAGTTAGCAGCGTTTAGTTGCTCTTATACTTTGAAAATTACTATAAACAATATTGTTGAAATATATGTACAAAATGGATGTACCTACATACATACATACATAACTACGGAAAGGCTTAACTTCAATTTCTTATGCGGTCCCTCGGGCACACGTAAAACGATTGATGAGTGTGCTCTTAAATGCACACTGATTACCTCAACGCCGTCTTGCCGGCTTGTGCTATTGATTTTCTTATCATCTACCAAGACCTACTTATGAAGTTGAGTGATTGTATACATATGGCAGTCCAAATTCTGCAGGAAGACGATAGGTACTTATAAGCAATCATGAGACATTTTTCTCAGTCCCTGTTCTCAGAGGGTCACTTCTTACCAATATACTAGTTCCTTAACATGGAGTGTCGTGTAATGAACAAAGGAAAAATTCTAACATTAAGCAAACGTTAAGAAATTCCTCGAATGTGAGTTTCCATTGCAGGGGGTGCCTTTTTAACTTTGACATAAGCCATTGGGTAATAATCTCAGACTCCTCCAACCTATCCACCCACTCTTTTTCCGGTCTCCCTGTGTCCTTTTCCCCTCTCCCCTCTACGGGCATCACAATGGTCAGCTTAGTCGAGTCCAAGTGTGTCTCCATATACGGATGCAGCCCGTTTACTTAACCTAACCTAACCTCCAACCTTCTTCTGCGGCTTCTGTTATCTTTCGATAGGCCGGAGAGAAGTTACAGACCATTGAGTTTCCGTTGTGCTTCGCAGCTTGTGAAAATATCAGACTTTTCGTTGCCATGCAACTTTTTAATTGCAAAAAATTCCACCTGGAATATGGACAGAGGCCTGCCACTGATACATTTACTAATATCTAAGTCCACATATCCCTGAGTCAGTATTCCTAACAGTTAACCTAACCTGAGATATTTGATCAATCGTTGTGTTTATGGCCCTTGAAGGACTCGTTTAAGGAATTATAGAGGACTCCTTAAACAGGCGCGATGTGGTGAAGTTCTATGCGTTATACGGTGCTTAATACGATGACTCAATTGGAGAAGATCCCTCGACTTGGCACCCATGGGTTGACAAAAAAAGCAAGGACGCCCACGAACAAAATAGAAGGACCTGTCAGCAGTCGGAACTGGCGGAAATTCGCAAAGGAGTGAGACAATTGGCGAAGGGAACACCTGGCGATGGCGAGTTCCGCAGACATTGGAACTATGAGCTGTATGAGCTTTACAAGGACATGGACATTGCGCAGCGAATTAAAATACAGCGGCTCCGCTGGCTTGGCCATGTCGTTCGAATGGAGTCCGATGCTCCAGCTCGGAAAGTTTTCAACTCGGAACTGGTGGTAGCAGAGAAAGAGGGAGGCCCCCACTGCGTTGGAAAACCAAGTGGAGAAGGACTTGACTTCACTTGGCGTCAGTTGGCCCAGAAGAGAAATGACTGGCGTGCTTTGTTGAACTCGGCGAAAATCGCTTAGGCGGTTACAGCGTCAAATAAGAAGAAGATGATTCACAGCATCTTCATGTAGTTTTTTATCACTTAACAAACCAAAAGCTTATATTTATTTAGATGCTAGCCAATGAAGAGAAGTCCCGCACACGTAAATTGTAGTAAAATATCGGACCAAATAACTATCACTTACGTTTGTGTAGCGGTAAACGGATTCGTGAAATGTAGTTTTGCGCAAAAGGAATGCATATGTATATGTCACACAACCCCAAGCGCTCAACACGCTACCAACTTTCTCTCGGCGGTTCCAAACGCGACAAAGAAATAAAATCATCAACATATCGGTCACTGTAAAATTTTGATCGAACTTACTCAGTTTCCTACAACCGACTGCATCCCATCCAACCGCACTTCTAAGACCAGGTTCATGCCCTGTCTTTTCTTAAGGGAGAATCAATCCAATTTTACACGGACTGATCGAAACTCGACAAATGAGTTGGTGGTGGGGTTCATTCGAAACAATTAGGCAAATCGTTCAGCTTCCGCCTTCCTGACTACTGCAGTGTTTTTAAGGCGGAAATGTTGGCTATTTCAAAGGCCGCATGACTGGTGCAGTGGGATACGATTCCTAGTCATGATATCGACATTTTCACCGAAAGCCAGGCGGCTATTAAATCTCGGGGAAAGATATCGCTGACTTCAAAAGTAGTTGCTCTCAACGAGATGGCTGAGACCGTAGCACACACATTGTCTGGGTACCTGGCCATTGCGAAACTAAGAGAAAACTGTAAGGCTGGCGAAATCGCCCGTCATGGAACGACATTGTCTGATACATATATAAGGGATACTCTTGGCATCCCTCTTAAAATATGTAAACTACACGCAGCTAGACTGGGCGCGCCCTGGAATGACTACTGCAGAATCTGCATTGATGAAAGCGAAGGAGAAACGATCTCACATCTTATCTGCCATTGTCCGGCTTTATCAAAATAGAGAGCAAAATCTCTTGGCAGTTATCTCTGTAACGATCTCGATAACCTCAAAGCGATGAATGCACTTTTTTGTTAACCCATTAACCTTCACCTGAAAAGGTAATTTTGACCCTTACTTGAAGAAACCCCGGAAAGAAGCAAATTTGGAAGTTCGTTAGTGGATTGATATATTCTCGAAAATTAGTCTTCCGAAATTTTTACTAGGGGTCTTCTCAGGCAAAAGCTTCATTCCACCAACGGTAAAGTCTCTAAAAATCAGCAAAAAAACTTGGTTTTTCACTATTTTTTGGTTTTCTTTTGGTTTTTTGAGTTTGACTGTTATTCTTTCTTGGCATAGATTTTTTGTTGTTCTCAACTAGGTTTTATTACGTAGCATTTATTTATTAACTGGAACAGGAGAATAGATTTTCTTCAAAATTGTGACTTTTTCTGCACTTTGCGCTACAAAATTGAATAAAAACAAACAAAAATTCAAAAATCGCGCCTCTTGCAAATTTTATTAGCTTTTATTAAACAATAATAATAATCAAAAAGAGTGAAAAATTAAGGCTCCAGTGCATTGTGAACAATAAATGCCAATTTTAAACCACTGTGCAATGATCTACCACAAATGGCTTCATTGCCTTGATTGACGACAAACAAGGTTATGTTGAGTGTTTGGTGGCAGTTACTGAAAGGAAATTGCTCATTATGAACTGCTACAACGTGGCGAAGTGATCAATTCGGTCCTCTACTGTGTACAACTGGACTATTTGAATGAGGAAATCAAGACGGGGCGAAGGAGAATTGGCTGGCCATCATGACAATACCAGGCTAAATGGTCGGAAATTAATTGGGAAGTTTTAATGTGTCCACTGTATAGGTCGAGCCGTCTGATTCACAATGGTTTTGGTCTCAGAAAACCTCTCTTGATGGTAAAAAATTGACGGACCTATGAGCCACAAAACTGACGGACCTGGCCAACTTTTTCGCCGATAAACCACAGATTCTGCACCGATGGAAATATAGAGCTACCCGAAAAATTACAGAATGTCACAGATAATAATGGCAAATATGTACTTCCTAGACTCAAATTGAATTTCAGTAAACAAAATTTCAAAAGTTTACTCAAAAATCCACGGAGGCTTTTCATATGACCTATACTTAGGTAAGAAATTTACCTATGGCGTATGTGAGTATATTAGAGTGGTCAAAAAAAAAAAAACTTTTCCGAGATAGGGTTTGGGCACCGTCCAAAATTTTTCCTCTTACCGAAAGAGGTACGGGCTTCAAACTTTAAGTTTCTGAGAATAAATTTAGAGGCTGCTTATGAAATATTTACATATATGTATTTTACTCTATAAGTACTTAATAATCTCTAATAATAGATTGGCGCTTACACATATGCTAGTGTTTGGCCGAGCTTCTCCTCCAATTTGTGGCGTGCGTCTTGCTGTTGTCACACAAAGAAGAGGGACGTACAGTTTTACGCCGACTCCGAACGGCAATTTGATTTTTATGGGAAGCTGTTTTTCATGGCAGAAAGGCACTCGGGGGTTCGCCATTACCAACCGAGGGGCGACCGCTGTTAAGAAATATCCTTTCTTCTAAATTTTTTGCGCGATGTTGCTTTGACCAGACATGAACCCAGGCGCTGCGGAGTGGAGACACTGCTTACCGCTACACCACAGCGATGTAGTTTTCGGAAGACAAAAAGAGCTTACCGATTGAAAAATATTGCTTTTCAAGAATTCTATACAATTTCTATGAAAATTAGTTTTTTTTTCGCCATATAAAATAGATGGGAAACTTTGGGCGGTTTGAGCCACCTCTAAATCTTGTTTGATTGACATGAAACTTTGTATAGTTTAGTTTTTAGACTATTCACACATGTCTAGGGGGTGAGACCGAGAATACGAGCTCTTTTCGA